ACAGCTTGAACCCCCAGAGCGATCTGACTCTGGGACCAGCACAGTTCCCCAGTCTCTCTCCAGCCTCTCTTGCTCTAACTCTCCCAACCTCTCTTTCTTTGGTCCTCCCATGTTTTAAGGAGACTGACCTTGCTCCTTCTGACATATCAGCGCTGTGTAGCAAAAGAAGCAGCTGGACTGGTTTATATGGGGAGGGGGTGTTAATTAAGAAAAGATAATGATGGGATTAAAACCAAAAGCTAGCCAAGCCGACTGGTGAAGACATCTTCCCAGCCAGCTATATTTAATTAGCAGCAATTAATACATTTTCTGCTAATATCCTGTAGCACTCTTACTGATTTAGTTCACCGTGAAAGAGAATGGAGATAGAGCACAGGAACACTTACAAGTACCCAGGGCATTTTGCTCTGATAAAGAGAGAAGTTGCAAATCCATTTAAGAAAATGTCCAAAAACCAGTGACTTGCATACTCTGAGGCCGCTTTTGTGGAAACACTGGTGAAACTGACAAATATTTTTTTGCTCTGGGGGAAGGGTACTTTTTTTAAAAGCAGAGAAATGCTTTAGGAAAAGAGAAAAAAAGATAGGAGGCTGAAAAGAAAAAGAAAAATTATTTCAGACTTCAGGCAGCAGCAGACGCAGCGGCCCTTGCAAACACATCAGCCCTGCACTATTGAAGATTTGGACATGTAATGCTTCAGACCACTGATTTGCTATTTTCTTAATTCCCGCTCTTCTTTTTCCATATGAATCAAACAGTCTTTTGTCCTTCAGGGTTTGATTTGATCGCTACTGTTCACATTTCACTTTTGTATTTTCCTCTTCCTATACCATTACTCATTGAGTGCCCCGTGAAATTACAATCGTACATTTTCAACTCAGCAACCCATTTGCAGTGCAAAAATAGGGTCTAAATAATGGCTGAATTAGCCCTACTGGACAGTTTCAGATGTAACACTCTGTAATAATTATATTGCAGGCTGGATTAGGATGCTATTATCATAATCTGGACGTTTACAATTATCTGTAATTTGCAAAGATGCGCCAGGTCTTGATTACAGCAGTTTTTTTTTTTTTTTTTTTGTATCACGCTAACCATCACTAAACAGTGACAGTAATAACAGCTAATTTTGCTGGCAATATAAGAGGTGCTGGGGTGTGCAAACAATTTCACACCTGGATGTGCTCACTCAACCAAGAATATAGAGAAAGAGCTTCTGCCCTGAGACTCAGAAAAATATTCTCCTCTGCTTCGGTTCAGTATAGATTTCTAGACCCTGATCATTGCTTAAGAGATATTCACTGGGGGTAAGTTTTTATTTCTTGCATACTTCAAGGCACAGCTCATATTTCTCTTCTTATACTTTCCAAGCTATATGTGTTGCTGTTGTAATTTATCATGAACTACAACTTTTCTTTATAGATTTTTCAATTCTGACCTTTATCCCCTTTTAACAGTAAAAAGGTGGTTGTTCTGGTGAGTAAAAGGATTCGGGTGAGAATGGGATACTTAAGAACTCTATTTGTCTTTCTTGCTTTCTATGTTGTTCATGTATTTGGTACAGCTTGTGACTGGAAACTGAAAAAGACTAGGTTTCTGTAAGGTGTAGAAGGAGCCAGCTTGGGATAACCCAAGCTAAAATCTATGAAAATTGTTACTGTTAATCTAGGTGAGTCCACTGAGGTCTTTAGATGTGAACATGACTTTAGGTTTTGAGGCATCAAGAGATGGAATAGAGCTGGAGACCCGGTTCCTTTAGAATCACAGGTATTCGGACATTTGCAAAGGCAGGTGTAGTCTGAATCTCTCGCCTGTGCAGCCTTTTGTAACTGGCCTGGAAACCCTTCAAGGCTGCTTTTCAGGGTCTCAAGCTGGTGTGTGGGTTGGTGTGGGTAGGGGTAGGGTACCTGGATCTTGGAGCTATTGCCCCCAGAGCCCAAGTGCTGTGACCTTGGGGTTGGAAGGGCATGACTGGCACAGAACGGAGCCGGAGCCGCGGAGCTAAAAAGCCAGTCTGATTTAGGAACGCACCAAGACGCCAGCAAGAAGCGGTGCTATTCTATCTATAGATGACGCTGTTTCCTGACCTTGTAGATGTTGTAAGCCACTGGAGATGTTAAGTGCAAAAGCCTGAGAAATCTTAGGCTTCCCCACCTTAGTGCAAAAAGGCCTTTCTCCCGTGGCAGAAGCCTTTTGACTAAGTTGTGTCTAAAGATAATGAGATGTTTATTGGTGCTGAAGAGAAATCTTCCCCTTCACCGCCACCCCCCAATCCCCGCATTGTTCTCTCTCTTTCTTCTAAATGGGAAATATGGTCAGATCTAGGCTCTAGAACTCGAACTCTACAACCTCTGGAGAAGTTTGAACGTGGGGAGGCGTAGTAGGCACTGCCACTAGGCGATGCCTTTTGCCCACGCCCCTCCTACCAATCCCTCCCTCGGGAATAGGCTTACTATGGGGTCAATACATTCTAACCAGTGAAAATATTAACCCTTGAGGTTCAGAGGATCCGGAGGAAGCCCAGTTCCAAGGACAGTCTGGGGGGACTCCCTGGCAGAATTTCTTGTTTAATTAATCTCATGTTAAGAGATAAAAAAGATTGATACAGATGCATCATGACAACACCTCCATTATGTTAACATGCATTTTGCTGGGTTTCAGAATTCCATGCACTCACAGTGGTTTGGCATGTAACTGGCGAATTTTTTTTAAAGAAAAATTAGTGTTGGTTTCGATGTATGGTAGCTTTCTAACGTAATTTGAATAATTCAGCAAAGCCCCACTACCAGCTGTACTTCTGCAGCCTCTTCCATTCTTTTCAGCATTATAATTTTGGTTAATTTTCAATTTTAGGTCCTACGTCTCTGCAATTTGTGTATGAATAACAGAATAATTTCCCTCTTTTGTTTCGCCTTTCCTGTTCCTGAATCTAAATAAAGATGGCTTTTTAGTATTAAAAGTGGAAGAAAATTACAGGTAATTATCTTTGACGGTAAAAACGCTGTAATCAGCGGGCTACATGAAAAATTACTCTAATTATGGCTGCATTTAAGAGAATGGAAAAAAACCTTCTTGTGGATAAAAACCTTAAATTGTCCCCAATGTCTGCTTCAAATTGGATGGCACTGCAGCTGGAGGCTTTGTTCAGAATTGATCCTGGGGAGCTACGAACCCAAAGTTTCACAGTAGGAAGGGGGAAAAAAGAAAAGAAAACATTTTTCCTAATGTAACAATGCGAATGCTAGAAAATGACAAGACTGATCGGTTTTAAACCATTCTGAAGACTGACTGAGAGTGGAAGTTGCTCAACAAAAAAAGGAACGGGTATATTGGTAAGTAGTCTTTGCTTTGTGTCTAATTATAGTGACTGTCCTTTTGCACGACTGTATGTCGCTGTCATTATATGGAGCACTCTGAGTATCTCTATTGACTTCTGATAAATGGCTCAGTGGTTTCAAGGTTCATAATTTGAAGGATGCCCAGGTCTGTAGCCATTAATTCTCGCAGTATGGGGCTTCCTGCTTGTATGACGAAAGGACTTTTCATTTTCATTATTTCTGTGCTTTCCCCAAGATCGGAAGGATGTATTTCATCCAGGATAGTGCTTTTCCTACCTAGCTAGCTGGCAATGGGTTTTAAATATTAAGTAGGCATAATTGTGCACTTTACTTTCTGGGTTTTTTTCTTTTATTCTTGCCTTTTTTTGTTTAAAAAAAAAAAGCTGCTTCCAAACAAAGACAAATTATTTCTGCCGGGAAAAGGGAAAGGAGAATATTCAGTTTCAGCACTAGAAACTACTGGATGTCTAGAGATTAACCTGAGGATAGGTCATTCTAATGTTAAAAAAAAACTACATAAATATGTAGAGATTACAATAAAAACTGAATACGTAAAGAAAGCTGAGGAAATATCTGTGGTTAATGTTAAAGTACTTAAGACAAAGGCTAGTGGTGCAAACTGACATCTTTGCAGGCACTTGATGTTTATATATAGGACTTCCCATATTAGGAAATAGGAATTCTTTTAAGAGTGATAGAAAATATAATGGGAGGGAGGGGAAGGAAGGAGGAGGGAGGGAGGAGAGAGACAGAGACACACAGAAATATACAGGACACTCTCAGCATTTTGTGGCTTTTACTCCATATATGAAAGAAGACAAAAACATACAAAGTATATGTACAACTAAAATTCAACAATATATACAGAAATGTTTCTTGATATAAACGTCCCTATTAGCTTAGTGAATGCCACCAATTCACCTAGTAAAGGTGTCAAAGCAATAGAATGGTGATTTTGGTTATTTCCTCTGTCTTTCCTGATTCCAGTTCAGGGTTTGGGGGTGGGGTGGAGAAAGAGTATATTTTTGTTTTATTTTATTTGTTTTTTAAATCAATCATCATTCTTGGTCATTGCATTTTGATAAAACATGCAGTATTCCCTTTGAGGCAACGTTCTAATCTTATAGCCGATTTTTCCTTTTTCTTTAGAGAAAGGCTGTTATATGAGGGTTTTTCTTTTTCTTTTTTCCTTTCCTTTTCTTTTCTTTCTTCTTGCTTTCGTTCTTTCTTTTTCTCTCTCTCTCTCTTTCTTTTCTTTCTTTTTTTTTTTGTCAGTCTGGGATTGGTAAATAAAAATGCAGGAGTCCAAAATGCTTCTCTTTCATCATGTAATGTCTTAAGCTTATTAAACAAGTAAAAACGCTGCCATGTTTGTGCAGATTCTTCTGGTGGGGGGAAAATGTCTGTAAAAAAAGTCATTTTGATGGATACTCCCAAAGAGAAGAGGAGGCTCAGAGCCTGGATCCCAAGGGGTCAGGGAAAATATCCTTACAGTAAGGGGTTTCAGGAGTGATGGCAGAGAAACCAATCTCCCCCCTCCCCCTATGAGATGTAGGATCAATTACTGAGGTTGCTCAAGGGAGAAGGCAAATGAGGAGAAGAAAGGAAAGGAAGAATGAAAAGAAAGGTAGAGAGGAAAAGGAAGGAAAGATAGAATGGAAGAGAGGGAAGAAGGGGTGAAAAGAATGGAGGGAGAGAGGGCAAGGGCAGGGGAGGGAAGACAGAGAGAAAGGGGGGGAGAAACGAGTACCCCGCCGGCTTCTAGCCACACATACGAGTTCTCTCGAGCCTGCTCCTCCGGCTCGGTTTGGCAGATGCAAGCAGGTCCCAGATCCTTCTTGCCTATTCAGACGTTTCCCTAGGGTGTTCCCTTGGACAACTCACATCATCTGTGGTCTCTGCATCGTGTCCTGGTGTGGAGAGGAGTACCAGTGCGAATAGCCAGGCATGTAGCTGTTGGGGGGCATACTGACGCCCTTGGCTGAGGCGGAAACGTCCCACACTGGAGGCAGCGCCGGGGAGCGAGGCGACAGGGCTGCGGAGCCTGGGAGGGGGTCACTCTCATGAGGGTTACTGCCCTGCTTCAGCAGTTTCTTAAACTTAGAGCGTTTGTTCTGAAACCATATCTTCACCTGCAAGAAATGCAGCAATCATTAGGCCTGATAAACATGGAACTGGTGTGTCTAGTGTCACTCAAGGCTTTGGAAGCAATATTTAAAAAAAAATAAATAAATAAAAACAAAAAAACAACCATTGCAAAAGCCAACAAGCCAAGTCCCCGCCTTCCTCCACCTCTTTCTAGCCTTTTCCACTCCCCCTTCTTCTGACTTATTAGGTATCTTCTTTGGATACCTAAAGTAATTCTTGAGTTAGATGCTAGCCTGAGTTTAAAACAACAGCATAAATAAGAATAAAATAAGAAAGCGTGAATGAAATGATCAGGTTAAAAGTCTAAAGAAAAAAATTTAAAAGGAGTACTTTCTGGATCAAAACCATACAATTGAGTGCATCTCCTCTGATAGTCTGTGTTTTTATATTTGCAACCCAAAAAGCTGGCATCTCCATGCATGTACAGGGAGCAAATGACTGTAAAGAAATTAGAGCCTATACATTTAAAACTAAATGCCTTGAACATATCCATGCATATATTGAACAGGCAATAGACTATGCATGGAGCATCTTTCTCCAGAGGTACTATATCCCCATAATCCTGCAGGGATTAAGGATTTCACCTCCCTCATTCTCTACTTTGTGTGTTGTTTGGTCAAATTGTGGTCAACACTCATCACATGATTGTTAGTGCAGTAACTAAAAGTCAAAGGGCTTCTGAAAAATTAAATGTGAATCAGAAAACTGAGGGAGCATATCTAGACCAACATTCTGGATTTACTTTATGTGAAGAAGAAAATTCTATGGTGCAGCTTCCTTTACCTTTAAGAGGAATATGTGTCACTAAGTAGCTGGAATCCCTTCATATCAAACTCCAAATATTTTCAGTGGCAATATGACAAGAGAAAACAGGCTAAATTGGAAAGAAGAGCTTAAGGAGCATCTGTCTTAAGGCACTATACAATCAGTCCCCAGCAATAGTTTCATAAAACCTGAAATCCCCTTGCTAAAGACTACTTACCTCAGATGAGGCCTACCAGCCCATGCAGCTAAGTTTATCAACAAGGATAAAAACTGCAGGTGATTGTAGCCTAGCTTTATGACCAGGGTCTTAACATACTCACCTAAGAGTCTTCCTGTGAAATTTGAAATGCCCCATACATCTTTCTAATTAGTAGGACAGGAGAACTTAAGTAAATGTACTTAACTGTGGCTTCATCTATATAATGCTATAATTTGGACAATACTTCTCTGTAATCTCCAATTCTGCCACTGTACCCAAGTCCTGTGCTCCAGGGAGGTAGCTCAGACTGTACCAGCCACATCACCCAGGATGACTTAACTATTAAGTTTAGAGAAATCTTCTGAAAAACCCACCTCACTGATCCTAGGATGAATAGTTCACATGTTGGTGCCTTTACTAAACTCCATTGGAGCCTATGCCTTACCTGCTTTTTTTTTTTCTATTTCACATCATAATTTCTCTATGTCAATGAGTTAAAATCTTTGTTAGCTCCCAGGGCCTACAAAACAATCCTTAAGAAAGGTGAACCTTATTCTGCCTCCTGGTCTATACACCTTTTTGTTCTCTTTCATGTCATTCTGCTCTGGAATAGGATTGAATTGAATTATGAGTTTGGTCACCAAAAGATGCTAGGGTGGGGTGGGGTCGCCGAGGGCTGGGAGGATGTGCAAATCCAATCCAGTATTCAATACCAGGTCATTCATTCCAAACTGTGTTGTCCCAGGAAAGTGCAAAACTGGAGCAAAGGTATTTGTCATTAAGCTCCTTCCATCCTTGGTTGACTAGGCCAAGAATTCCTCCTGATGTGTTCCCTGCAGGATCTGCAAGCGGGGCCAGCATTTCAGGGACACTCGGACTTCTCGGGAATTACCTGTGTTTGTGTCAGTCCTAAGGAAGCTGCCAGTTCGGCTCTCTCGGGAAGGGCCAGGTATTGAGTCTGCTGAAAGCGATGGTTTAAAGCCTGGAGCTGCAGGCTGGAATAAATGGTCCGAGGCTTCCGAATCTTTTTCCCTTTTCCATTGAACCTGATTTCCCCGTTTTCAATCACTGTAGTTTTTTGTTGATCTGCAAGCAAATAATACAGAGGAGCGGTCACCCGTGAGGCCACTGCTGCCGTCTCCCCGCACGTGGCCTGGCCTGCGCCAGGTCTCCCCAAAGCCCAATAAGGGTTTCCTCGAAGTGTCCCCACAACGCCCTGATCTCTCTGGGTCCACGGTGCCCGTGTGCTCCCAGTGGCTGCATAAGCTTTTCCCTGACCCTGTCGCTGGCCCTAACACTGCGCTGTGGCTGGGCCGAGGGAGCGCCAGAGGCCCTCAGGCAAAAAGCGGCTTTCTGCCGCAGCGGCGGCGGCGCCGGCGGCTCTCCTGGGCGCGCCGCTTGGCTCTGCGGGGCTGCAGCTCTCTCGTCCGAGCGGGGGCCGTCGGCCTGGCTTCACAGCGACTGAAGCTGTGCTTGAACTACCCAAGGGTTTACGGGGCCAGTTGACTTGATGTCACCAGCTCCAAGCCTGGTGCATCAGGCCCCCTCGACTTGTTCGAAATGATTCTGCTGGGAGGGACCAAAACCCCGAACAAAACACAGCCAATCGCTCAGACTAGCCCGCGAGCAGGCTGCGCCTCTCACGGCAACTCTGTCCCCGTTGGGTGATGAGAACCCTCAGCCTGAGATTTTCTGCTTAGCCTCCACGAACAAAGGAGCAGCCAAAATTGTATCAAAAACCCAGAAGGAGGGGGCCAGGTCAGAGATGGGGGTGGAGGACACCTCAAAGCCCACAGGAAGAAGCCCAATTGTCACTAGTTTCACCAGAGCCACAGGCCACGCCAGCTTCCCACCGAGTCACTGAGGCGCACCGGGCGCCCCACGCAAAGTAGGCCACTGCCTGCCCAGCGTGGGCTGGGAAGCAAAACATGCTCCCCAGTTCCGGCCCAGAAATGTCCCCAGTCCTGGCAGAATGCGGTTACAGCCCGGAGGGAGGGAGCTATGGGAAAGAGCGCACCGACCCAGTGTGCGGGAGAGTGCAGTGAGGACCAACTTGTCGAGCGAAGCCAGCGGCCAGCCAGGGGCGCAGCCCCAGCTGCGCGTCGGAGAGGCGAGGGAGCA